AAACTCATCTTGACTCTTCCCTTCAGCAAATTCTTACCTGCCATTCAATAGCGTTAAATCCACGACCTCGTCACGCCCGGATCTTATTGTGAATAGCTAATCAGTTTCTATTGCAAAACTGCTAATTTGAAGTCTTAGACATGCTTTGAGATACAGTAAAGCCACAATCATTAGACCTATGGCTATCATCGTCGGTCAAAAATCCTATTTAACATGATATATTAGAAAGATCACTTACTTCTTAAGAAAGCCTCGAGTGCTTCAATTGTTATAACTTTCCACTTTCCAGGATTGCTGCGTGACATAGAAATGTTGCGGACGATAATAACAGGCGGCCAGATGATAAGATCCTCCTTCTGAACCACAGCTTCTTCCTTGTGCAAGTCCTCAGGAACCCATATTACAGTGTCTTGGGGAAGGGCACTGTTCCACCCCATCAAAACGCATATGGCTTTGGCAAGACCTAAATGCTGAGCCCTCAACCCGATCTTGTGGGACATATAGGCGTGCTTTACCAGGCGTTGAGTATCCAAAAATTCCTTCGAGTAGCTGCAAGGACACAAATAGGCAAGCTGGAATTAATTATATAAAGTTAAAAAAATACGATACTTCCCGCTGCACATATAGCACGTCTGTAAAAGGTGCTAGATTTAGGACGAGATGGTAGGCAACAGCAGATGAGAATTCCAATTGAAAGAACCTATCAAAATCACTCAGTTGACGATTAAACCCCCCATGGCCTCGATTAATATTAAAAAAAAAGGTCCTTCACCTTTCCACATTCACCCATGGAGATACTGGATACAGCCAATTCCACTTCTATTACGAAGCAATTCACCTTGATGTTTTTTTTTACTAAACAGTTAAATCCTTGAAGTCTCTTTGGAAAGTAACTATCAAATAGTTCTAACATGCTCGCATTAAGATGGACACCTCACAAACCAATTCTACCTATCTTCACTGATAATTAATATACATGTCAAAGAATGACCATTATAGGTTAATAAGCTACCAACAAACAGTAATGTAGATCATATGCATCACAGAAAGTCCAAGCTAAGATATACACACTCTCCTAAATTCTGCAAAATGGCTAGGAAAATAATATTCCAAAAGTAAAGTTCTGGCTCAATGATAAATATCAAAGGAAGCCATATCTTCATGCAAAACTAATTCTTGCTAAAGTGGACTGTCTATACATCCACTGCTCGTTCAAATATAACAAATGAGACTGGTTAATCACGAGGATAAAAAAAGCAAACCAAACCCTCTAGCCCGGACCATGCTACAACAAGATGATACTGCTCTTATAGTTCTAAAACATTAAAAATGGGATGATCCTATGCACCAAGGAGCCTTCTGATCCCCCAGTGATCTCATTATTCTCTTTATTATCCTTCCAAAGAAATCAAATTGATGTGCACTTTATAGCATATACTCGCCACCATTAACAAGTGATAACTAAAAAGGCACACACAGACAGACACATCGGTAAAGGTCAATCTGAACATCCATATCCTTCTTATAACCCAAAGAAACTTAAAGAACAGAACCTTGAAGGTTAATTCTCATAATCTAGCTTGAAATACGTTGCACAATAGCATTTAGGATACTCTTGAGTCAATATATGAAATGGAGTCTCCATGATTAGGAAATAAGTAAGAAGACAGACCTTCTGCCACATACGATGCAATATAAACTACCGCCATTCCCTTGGTCCTTGTACCTTTTTCGGACACTAGCTTTCATATTCAACATTTTCAAGCACTTCAAAAAGGCCTCATGAACCATTTGATTGAACTTTTCAGAATCCTCGGGAGGTTCAGATTCCGTAGGAATTACCAAATCATCTGACAAGTCATCGTCATTTAAATAAACATAACCATTTTCCCCTTCGGTTTTATTCCAAACTTTATGCTGTTTATGAAGACTATTTCTGCGATCAACATTTTGTGACTTGATCCAGCTTGATGTACCCTGTTTTTTATTGCCCTTCATATATTTAGGACCAGTTTCATATTTCTTAGCATTATCCAAATAGCTTTCATGTAAAAACGAATCATCAGAAGCATACAAATTATGCCGATCATATTTCTTATTTCGCTTCCTGTATTTGTTGTGGTCAAATTTTGCTTTCCTGGATATATATCTGCGATTGGTTTCGTCATCCATCCACTCTTCACCACTATTATATAGATCCACAACCTTACTGGGCATATAATCACAAGATGTTCCTATTCTATGATGGAGTAAATTCCTATCTTCCTCAAAATATTTTCTTTTTGGCACCCGATCCTTCAAGTTATAAGTGCAAAGACCCTCTGTCATTCTTTCTAGGCTTTCAGTATTTCTGTAAGCTTCTCCATCACACTTGAACATGGAGGATTCATGCAACCTCTCTTTCGAAAGATGTGGACCTACGTCTCTTTCAGAGCCATAATCTGATCTTGCATGCAAGTTTTGACAAAACTGAGAAGGGTTAATGGGTGACTCTTTGTAATTTTGAGTTACTCTCCTACCCACCTCAAGATGGATGGACCCAGTACCTACATATTCACTGCCATGGTTCACTGCTTTTGTTAATTCTATATCAGGGTAATCTAAAACTGTCTGCTTTCTAAGTCTATAACAGTCAAGTGCTATTCCAGTTCTATGGTTTGCATACGAGTCATCAACATTTGGTAATTTCAGCAAACTATCGTTCAAAACTTTTGGTCTTGAAAAGTCTCCGCGACCAGACACAATTGCACTATCATAATCGATATAATTACGGGTTTGAGTAATTTTCTGCATCACTCGAGACGGACCTGCATATGAATCATTCACTGTTCCCTCGGGTTTAGAATAAAAATAGCTCCCATGCTCCCTCCTGAAACTATTAGTGCCTTGTTGATGAGGAGTTAGATTCCTCTTTCCTCCAACCATGGGTGAATCTACAAGGGTCCTTTTCCCATATGAATTAAATTCTTTAGTGTCCACAAAATCTCCATGGCTCCTTTCTGAAAACTCATCCGAAATTTGGAGGTACTGGCCATCCTGATAAGATTCTAAACACCTGCCTGTTAATGGTCTTGACAAAGAACTCTCATATTTTCTGGAATAAAATCCTGAGCTTGCAGAATATTCACTATTCCTCGAAGGAAACCTGCGGTTTGGTTCAACTTCATGATAATCTGCACCTTGTGATTTATCTGAAACTGCATCATCTCGATATTTAAATCTTTCATTGTCGAGACTTCTCATATCCGAACTCTGGGAAGATGGTAAGAAGTCTCTATAAATTGATGCAGGATTCATATCCAAATGTGAATTGTAGGACCCCATTGCCATCTCGCCCTCCTCTGCAGCCAAAAGTTTTTGATTCATCCTCCTTTGTCTACTACCATCGGACCATTTCCCTTGATTAATTTCTCTATCTATCCTAATTCTCAAATCATCATGCATATACCGAAGGTCTTGATTATAATCTAAAAACTCATCCTCCACCGAAATTTTCCTTGGCTCAGATAAACCATGGGTTCGTTGCAATTCTGAAAGCTGCCTGTGATCGTTGCGCAGGAACACTTCGTTGTAGTTAGGCCTTTCCCTCGTTTGACCATAAGAATGTACATTTGACCCGATATCATTGTTCCTTCCAGTTCTTAGACGCCAATCCTCGTCCCTCCTTTCAATGGTGTCAACCCTCTGACCCAAACCCACTTCGCGCCAGGAGTCACCAATCCTGTGAGGGCTCAAACTCCTTCTAAGACACGGAGATCGATCCAGTGCCTCCCGTCGGGGCTTAACATATCGACCATGATCCAGATGAAGCCGATCCTGAGCATGTAGTTTCATATTTTCCGATTCCCTAACATAGTAATCTTCACGCCTTCGACATTGCATGTTTAGCTAATTATTAGAAATTACTCCTAACGAAGCGTTTGAATGATACCCTAAAATGGTCGAAACCGATTCGCACTAAACCGTCAAAAAAACTTCAATTCCCATGCCCTAAATCACACTATCCAAATATCAAACAGGAGTATGGAGCGCTATCTGAGCAAAAAAATTGCAACATAAATCCAACGAAAATCCGACAGAAGGATTATCAAACTGGGAAAATTTTCAAACCTTCGCGGGTAAATCTTGAGGATCCATTGATGGTCTGTCAGTGATTCTCCTTCGCCTAAGCCTGCCGGATGACCGAATTCTCGCTCCCGTTTCCGAAATTCACGAATCAAAGACGAACAATTGCTCAGCGACCTAGATTTCTTTTCACCTAATTTGTTCGATGAATAAACACTAGTTCTTACGATAAGAGCGACCGCCACCATATATATATATATATATACATACATATATATTCTCCTGAATAAAATGTAAATTCCACGTGATAAAGTCGATATTTATAAAATTATTTTGTTTTGAACAATGCATTAAATTTATATCGGTATTTTTTTTTTCATGAGTCGACATAAATAGTAATGAACTATAATTAATGTGAAGATTATACTAATAATAAGTATTTAAATTTGTTTAAAATGTAAATAATTTTTTATTTTTTTAATTACTTTTCAAAAATATTATTAACATCGACAATTAATTAATATTTTTACAATTAAAAGCTTCAATATTTTCAATAATCGTCCTAAAATAAATATTTATTTTATTAAATCATAACTTCATCTCATAAATAAATTATTTTTAATTCAATAAATACATAATAATAACTATGGAACAATTAATTACCTCTATTTTTTTTTTTTTTTTTACTTTCCAATAATATTTAAAATATCTTTATTTAAAAATTTTCATTAAATTTATATGTAATAAAATAATAAATTCGAATTTTTTGTCTAGTTATTTAATTAATTTAAATTATTTTATAATTTAATTTTATGTCTAATAAATTTGGTAGTTTTTTTTTTTAAATGTAAAATATATTTGATAGATTATTAAAATATTCGATTCAACTCGTATTAACAAAAAGAACTTCTAATTTTATTAAGCTAGTCCTTGCTAATTGTCGTATTTGCAAAAAGGTCCCGTGTCGGTTGCGGTAGCATCATCATCGAGGTTCACAAAAATGGCTATCAATGGCGGGTCTACACCAATGGCTCTGTAAATTATCTTCCTTGTTCCTCTTGCAAAGCTTCACCAGCTCTTCCACCACCATGTCCATCTCTTCATCACCTTTCTTCTTCAACATCTCTGCAAACTCCTTTACCTTCTTCCTTACTCTCTCTCCCATCTTCTCTACCATTACCTTATTAAGAATAACCAATAAGATACCAAAATTAATACCGATAATCACCTGTGTTCGAGAGTATGAGATCCCATTCGATGGGAAAGAGCTAATGTAACGGCCCAAATCTATCGCTAGCAGATATTGTCTTCTTTAGACTTCCCCTCAAAGCTTTAAAACTATCTCCTAGGAGAAGGTTTCTACACCCTTATATTAGGTGTTTTGTTCTCCTCCCCAACCAATGTATGGAAGATTATAGTGAAATTCAGATTAGTTGGGGAGAGAACTAAACCTTGTTTGTAAGAGTGTGAAAACTTGGACCCTGAAGGGAGTGGATTGTAAGATCTCACTTCGGTTGAGGAGGAAAACGAAACATTCTTTATAAGTATGTGGAAACTTCTCCCTAACAAATCGTTTTAAAACTTTGAGGGGAAGCTTGAAAAGAAAAACTCAAAAAAGACAATATCTGGTAGCAGTGAGCTTAAGCTATTATAGAGAGTGTTATGAATATGAACATGATATTAAATTTAGGTTAAATTTTCCGATGAAATGCTGAATTGACTGGAATGTTTGTATCTTGGGATTCAACTTTAAAAGGGGTTAACCAATTCTCGAGCTTCTAACTTCGTAGGTCATACATCTAATGATAAAGCATACCGAAGATAGGTAAATAATATTTTTATTAAATAATTTAATGATCTATTAGACACAAGGAACTAACCTCTTTGACAACTCTGGCCACTTCTTGATGGTGGAGGCGACCATTGTCTCTTTCGATGACGACACCGGCATCGAGCCACTCGACCAACCTAGCATTCAACGGTTGGTCGAGCTGCATTGGGGCGGCGATGATCGGGACACCGAACTTGATGCTCTCCATGACGGAGCTCCACCCACAATGGCTGAGGAAGCCGCCGGTGGTACGGTGTTTCAAAATCTGAGCTTGTGGGACCCACCCTTCCACCACCATCCCTCTCTCTCTAACTCTCTCTAGAAACCCTTTAGGGAGTTCTTCTTCAACGTTCTTCTTTCTCTCTCCTCCACCGGCTACCGGAAACCTCACCACCCATATGAAGTCCACGTGGCTAAGCTCGAGCCCATAAGCGATTTCTTCCATGTCTTCTTTGGATAAGTAGAACTCGCTACCGAATGACACGAGTAAGCAAGATGAGTCCTCTTTTTTGTTTAGCCATTTTTCGAATCTACTTCCTGATACGACGTCGTTTTCCGGTTCTTGAACTAATGGACCCACTGGAACCACCTAATTACCCGTAATTAAAAAAAAAAAAACAAATTAATTTCATGTGAATTTATTACTATTTTCATTCAATCTCTTGATTTTTAATTTATTTTTACTAACTTTTTAATTTATTTTATTATTAATTGACAAATAAACTTCATTATTATTTTTATTACCATTTTCATTAAATAATTTGATGTACATAAAAATAGTAATATAAAGTAAAATCTAAATAAAAATTAAAAAAACAAATTTAATATAATTGATTTGAAAGCTAAAACATTAATTAATTTTTTATTTTTAAAATTGATACTTATCTTTTTATTTTATTTTTTAAATTTTGATATATATAAAAGTAGATAATAAAATACGAAAACTTATTTATAAACTTAATTTTTAAAAATTAAATGATTATTCGATAGAGCTTTAATTTTTTTTAACTTTTTTATTATGTAAAATTAAATTTACTTATCAATTTTTTAAAAAATTAAGTCAAATTTTAAAAAATTAAAATATATATATATATTTGTTCTTACAATTTATCCAAAAATTCAAATATTTTCTTAACAAAAATAAAAAAAATATATAAAAAAAAACAAATACAATTTTTAAATAAGAATATTAAGTGAAATTTAATGGAAATTACAAACCTTCTTCCGCAGCAAAATAGAGAGAAAATCAATATATTTGCCTTCAATTTCTCTGAATGATTTCACCAAAATCATACCACACGATCTCTCATTACATTCCTTAATCCTTTCTTCATCCCTCGCATCATTCACTGATGATCTAAACAAGTTCTTCACCTGTTTAATCTCGTACTCGGTGAGCCGAATCTCCGGGAATATCGAGCTCAAATTCGAGCCTGGATACTCCAACTCGTACTTCACCATAGCCGCCATAAGCGCGCCTGTAAAAACTTTCAAATTTGTATCTAATACATGACGGTAATAAATTTAACGACTGAACTTACCCGTAGGTTGGAACATGACGGCGGGAATATGAGATGATCGAGCCACGGCAGGTGCCCATGGTTGCAAGAAATCATAGATGACCAAGTCCGGGTTCAAGTTATGGAGGATGATGCTGAAGGCGGAGGCGGCTGAGTCGAAAGCTTGCTTAAGCGAGAACATGAGATGGGGCGGGAGGCCGGCGGTAGTGTGGCAGTATTGTGGGAGGTCGGATGACGTCGGTAACTTTAGCTCGACGAGCTCGATATCGGAGAAGAGATCTCGAGTGAGGTTTGGTTGGATTGAGTTGAGAATTATGGAGGTGGAACAGAAGTATATGTGGAAGTTTCTACGGCGGAGGGATTTGGCGAGCTCGAAGAACGGCGAGACATGGCCGTGAGCCAGCCATGGGAGCATCAAAACGCTCGTTTTGCCATGTCTATTGCTTTCCATAATTTCAAGTTATTTTATTTTTTTTGGTTTGTGTGAATGTTTGATTAATCCACCACACCTAAATGGTGTGAAAGTTATCTTATTTATAATCAAATGAATTACAAGGATATGGAAATAGTAATAAATGGAAATAACAATAAATGGAAAGATACGTATGATAATAAAGCAAATATTAGATATTTGCCTTATAATAAAATATCAAATATAATATATATGGTAAACTATAATTTATTACTAAATATCCTTAACACCCCACCGCAAGCTAAGCGTCGGATTTAAACGAACGTGAAGCTTGAATCTGAAAAAATCAAAGAGGTTGAGAAACACTTTTCATGAAGATGCTAACAACCCGGTTCTTGGCCATCAAAAATTGCAGAGGGATCGCCGCTCAGCGGCGATGCTGCCTTGGCTTCGGCGAGAATATGTCTAACCCATGAAGAGAGATTGTCGCTTAGCGACGATGCTGCCTTGGCTCTGGTGAGAATATTTCTAACCCCAAGAAGTAGAAGGGGAAACCTAGAGCAAGGGACAAAGACAATGTTGAAGCCAGAAGAGTCGCCACATTGGGCGAAGGAGCCAATTTTGGCGAGAAGGGCAGTCGGAAGAGTCGCCTCATCGGGCGAAGAAGCCAATTTTGGCAGGAAGGGCGGCGGCAACTTGGTTGGCGAATAGGCCAGTGCGGCACCCAGATTCCGAAGGTAAATCTCTGCAAAAGGTTGATAGGTTTAGGTTAGAGTTTATGTGAAGGATGAAGGTTGATTGGGAAGAAAATGAGAGAGACTATATTGGCCAAGGGGAAAACCGATTGGGTTGGAAAAGGTAAGGTTGTATGTACAGAGTATGACGAAAGGTGATTTGGAGGTCAATAGGGTGGAGCCGAAGAGTAATCAATCGACTCCGACTACGGCAGCCATGAAGACTGCCCCTGTGGCGTCAAAACCAGCAGGGGTGGTGGAGAAGAAGATTAGAGAATTCAAAAGCCATTGAAAAGAAAGGATCAGGGTTGTTAAACCGAAAGGGCTCTGATACCATGTTAATGTTTGATTAATCCACCACACCTAAATGGTGTGAAAGTTATCTTATTTATAATCAAATGAATTACAAGGATATGGAAATAGTAATAAATGGAAATAACAATAAATGGAAAGATACGTATGATAATAAAGCAAATATTAGATATTTGCCTTATAATAAAATATCAAATATAATATATATGGTAAACTATAATTTATTACTAAATATCCTTAACAGTTTGGGTTATGAGATTTAAGGCAAAAGGGATTGGGTTAAGGACAAAGGTGATAATGATGACATCATAATGTCGGGTTTTGAGAAATGTGAAACTAGAGTTTGTTCCGACCATAATGTTGTCTTTCGAGAATCGTAAAACTATTAATTTGTTTCGATGTATTACCTTATAAATTTAGTCTCGAATTTGTTCAACATATGTGATGTCCTATATTAGTTGGAGAGGAAAACAAAACATAATTTTATAAGCGAGTGGAAACCTTCTCCTAGTAGACCGTTTAAAAGCTTTGAGGGGAATCCCGAAAGGGAAAGTCCAAATAGGACAATATCTGCTAGAGGTGGATCTGGGACGTAAACATGAGGTGGTGTGCCAATAAAGATGCTAAGTCCAAATAGGGTGGATTGTGATGTCCCACATCGGCTTGGGATGAAAACAAAACACCGGGTGGAAACCTTCTCTGGAGGGGAAGCCCGAAAGAGGAAAGAGAACAATATCTGTTAGCGATGGATCTAGGCCGTTACAACATAATTTATAAAAAAAGACAATATCAGCTAGCGGTTTGATATATTGGCGATCTTACAAAGATTAAATTTCAATTAATTTTTATTTACTTATCTGTGTCTTTTATGGAATAAATCTCATTTTAACTATTGAACACTCATAAAATGGGTAAGAAATATTGCAATTTTTTAAATATGTTGCATGGCATTGACACGTGTCGAAATACGATACGACCACATGGGCCAGCTAGGTAGTTCCACGTGTACATTTGTAACTCGGATCAAACTTCAGAAGTCGGTGTTGTTGAATTTACTCGGTTGACTCTATCAACAAAGGAAGGAGAAAACAATGAAAAATTCTCTTTGTATTGTTATTTTGTCCTTTATGGTCGTTTTTTTTAGCAATCTCCCTTTACAAATGTGATTTTGTCTTTAAATTTATTTTAATTACTCAACTCTTAAAATATAATTTTTAAAATAATTATTTTAATATATTCTTCGTATTCAACCATCTAAAACGGACTTAAAGTTAAAGATGTCTTAGAGGGAAGAGAGACCGTTAGGATCGCTCAACAACGCACACAATCTACAAGATGAAATAGGAGAGAGAAAATTCAATAAAGAATGTTGACTGAATATTTTATTAATTGACTATGTACTATAAGAGAATGCATAGAATGAAGAAAGTACATCTTGAGAGCACTGGTATATATGGTTTTGGTTTACTAAATCAGATTTAATTTACAAAATATATTATACCAAAATATTTACGAAATATCTACGCCATCAAAACTTAATTAAAATAATAATTAAACATAGTATTTAAATTAAAATAATAATTAAATAATTTTTGGTTCTATCATTTTTTAGGTTTTTTTTTTTTTTTTTTTGGTCATAATTGATGTGAAATTTTAATTGCGTAAAAGTCACTCTAACGTTGATTGCTTTCTTAAGTTTGATTTTTGAAGTTTAAAATTCATTTGCATTTTCTCACTATAATAATATTATTATTTTAAAAGAACGATAATTAATATTTTATTCGATTTATTAAAATAAAATAGAACGAATAAATAATAAATATGTTGATATGACTCGAAAATCCAACTAAATTGACTCTACCCAGTCTAAACCATACAAATTTGGTTGGATTTAGGTTAAATTTTTTGAACATCAGGGTTCACAAGTTGATATTTTTTTCATCCGGTTAATTTGAAAATAGTGTTACAATCCAACTCAACTCTTACTTGAAAATTATCATGAAAATTAAAAATATTTGATGTTTGTAAATGATACACTGTGACTTGTGAATATTTAATATTTGAGATTTATAAGATTTTAATTGTTAATGTAATAGGTTTTAAATAAACGGGGATAGAAAATTCGACCTCCACATAAAAAAATAACTTTTATTATATTTAGGGAACGTTTTAAAAATAGGCATGAACTTGACGATAATTATTTTTTTAATTTTTATTTATAAGAGTAGAGTGTGTTAATACTATTTTTTTAATTATTTAAATATAATTACTAACAGTTTAATATGTAAATAAAATTGGTAGAAAATGTTACTGCTTTCGTCAGCATCTTTAATGTGCTTCAATTGCAGAGGACAGTGTTTCGAGCAAATCGGACCCAAACATTCAGGAATGCTGTTGATTTTTAGGTCCCATCGATGCTCAATCGAACGGTCGTGGTAATGGAATTTGTCTACCATTCTCACCTCCTCCTCTCACAGTGAAAGTAAAAGTCTATGTTAGGGTTCATGGAAGCTTCCTTTTGAGGTCAGCATGGGTTTCTTAAATCTCTTCTTCCAATTTTCTCTGAGTCTTTCATTTCTGTTCTGCTCAATTGTTCTGTTTTTGATGCTGAGTTCATAGCAATTCGTTTTGTTCTTCTCTTCCATCTGTGTAGAAACTGGAAAGTTCGAGGCGGAATTTGTTTTTATCAATTAGATAATGGAGAATCTCGATCAGGATCAGCAAGATCCGAGGTGAGGCTCATCTGGATATCTTTAATTCTCGTAGTTAATCTGTTTTTGGCTCTGATTTTCAGTGTTTGAAGTGATTTTTTAGTTCGTGGGTTTTGTTTTAGTGCTTGTCTATGTCTTGTTCTAAGTTTTTCGTTATAATTTGAGCTTGTGTAGCCAGTGATAGGCGGTTTGATCTCGAACAAGTACTTAAGATTGGATTTACTAGATGTTGAGTAGTTTTTTTTTATATGATTCTGGAATATGAATTAGTTGTTTCCATACTCTAGAGATAGAGTAATTGTGAGATCCCACAACGGTTGGATTAGGGAACGAAGCATTCTTTATACGAGTGTGGAAAACTCTCCCTAGCAGACCTGTTTTAAAACCTTGAGGAGAAGTCCGGAAGGGAAAGCCTAAAGAAGACAATATATGGTAGCGGTGAGCTTGGGTTGTTACAAATGGTATTAGAGGAACGAGTGTCAGTGAAGACGCTGGGCCTCGAAGGGGGTGAATTGTGAGATCCTACATGGGTTAGAGAGGAGAACAAAACATTCTTTATAAGGGTGAAGAAAGAGAAAGCCCAAAGAGAACAATATATGCTAGCGGTGGGCTTGGGTTGTTACAAATGGTATTAGAAGGACGAGTGTCAATGAGGAAATTAGGCCCTAAAGGGGGGTGGTTTGTGAGATCCCACATCGGTTGGAGAAGGGAACGAAACATTTTTTATAAGGGTGTGGGAACCTCTCCCTAGCAGACGCGTTTTAAAACCCTAAGGGGAAGCCTGGAAGGGAAAACCGAAAGTGGACAACATCAACTAGCGGTGAGCTTGGACTATTACAATGGTTTAAGAAGAACAAGTGCCAGTGAAGACGCTAGGCCCTGAAGAGGGTGGATTGTGAGATTTCACAAGCGGTGGGCTTGGGCTGTTACAATGGTTTCAGAGGAACAAGTGCATTCGAGGGGGGAACAAAACATTCTTTATAAGGGTGTGGAAACTTCTTTCTAACAGACGCGTATTAAAACCTTGAGGGAAAACTTAGGGGGGAACAAAACATTCTTTATAAGGGTGTGGAAACTTCTTTCTAATAGACACGTATTAAAATACCTTGAGGGGAAACTTAGAAGTGAAATTTACTTGATGAGACATATACACGATAGAAATGGAAACTTAAGGTTTCTGTCTTAGATTTAGATCAAATGCAATTTCTCTAAATTAATGTTTATAAAAACATCACACAATTTTATGGTTATCATGAAATGAACTGTAAACGTATTCTGGCAG